ATTCTGTGGAGATTCCAAGGGTTTCTCTCGAGCCTGCAATCGCATCTCAATTTGCTTCACATGTAACTGATGAAATGCACACTCAGAAGAGTTGTGTTTAGAAATCCATTAAGACAACTACCAAGTCATCTTCCTGTTAACCTGTGTCAGAGCAATGAAACAAATGTTGAGACAGGTCCATGGTTTTCAGATCAGTTCTTTGTGACTTATCTTTGCAATCTGAAAAACAATGCCCCTCAAGTCTTCTATCTTTTCTCTCCTCAAGAAAGAAATGGATTTCTTAAGCAGTATTTGGAACATCGGTTTCTGGTAACTGTAGTTTGAACCTATATCTTTATAAGAATTTCTGTCCGTTAGTGGAAACAATAATTTAAAAAATGTGCATTTTTTTTCAAAAGTAAATTACAAAATAAATGGTATTATTTCCCACGGGAAATAAAAAGGTTTTAATTTACCAACTCCCATCACTTCCGCTCTCATGTAAAGTTAGGCATCATGAGCAGTTCAACCTGGCAACTGTGGACCAAACAAAAGACCACACTAGTGGTTTGGATTTTCTAGTACAAAACAGATATTGAATGCATTTAAACTCATGCATGAGTCATTATGCACTTAACCAACTAGTTTTAATGATCACCTGCGAATGTGATTTGATGAGTAGCAAACCTAATAGCTTGCTTTATCTCTACTTAATCTCCACCCCACACACTTACAGAGGATGGTCAGAACCACGCAGAAATACGTCATAATGATATAAATAGACCATTAAATTCTGTATGAAAAGACACAGAAGATAAGGTAAAAGAGGGAATCACAGTGTTAATGGAAGTGAGGAGCTGAATACTTCTTCTGCTGTCTCTTCTACAGAAAAAAAAAGACAGATCTTATTAGTTTTATTTGAAAATGGGATGGGATGAAGAGAAGCTGAGAAGAGAGCTGGGTCACTCTCAGACACATTTATGTATTGTCCTATGATTTATTATGAGCACTCTGGAAGCTGAGTGGCACCAAGATACTTCCAGAAGTACTAATCTAGAGAGGGCTGTACTTTCTTCTGATGAAACCCCTTCCTAAAGGGGTTACTGAAGATAAAGTTTTTACTTGTTCTTTTAATGTATTTAATCCTGGTTAGAGCTTGGGGGTTTATTACACCTCCAAATATTGGGGGGGGGGGGAAAGTTAGCTTCTAACTTGGGAGATTTCCCTTGCTTTTCTTGCTGCTTCTGAATGGTAAAGAAGCAGAATGTCATGCAGGTAATTGCCCTAGACTGAGTGGATTGCCCTCAGGTGCTTGAAAAGGTCTAAGTCTATTGCAAAGCAAGACATTGTGATGAATAGGGAACAGAGGGCCTGTCAAAGAAGTAAATCAGTTAGTAAGTCAATGGAAATGGGTTTGATAAATGAATGCATGTCAATATTAAATCAATTGGTGGGAAACATTGTTATACTCTGGGGCAAGGATAAACACTTCAATAAAATAGAGGATAGCTGTTTCATTTGGGTTAAACTATGATTTTCTAGCCAAGCAATCAGCTCCTGTGATGACTAAAGTTTTTCATTTGTTTGCTTGCTTTTTGGCTTTACTTAGGGGGAAATACAGCTATCTCCGTTTTATGTGCTTCAAATAGACTTGCTTAAATCTCTACTGGCAGATAACTTGGCATGATGCTTATTCTGCAGTAATAACAGTGCAGTACCCCTAGCATATATACTAGTACTGCAATTTTGCTACTGAAATAAAAGCATTAGAAGCAAGTAGTAAATGTCATTTTGTTAGACTTCCTTTGTCCCACATAGCTTTAGTTATAATTAAAATTATCAGGTTTAGAATGATTATTTACATTGTTTATTGATGTAATTTACCAGTCAGTGTAAGGTGGAATATTATTATTTTACAATTAAGCTCTCTTATCTAACTCTGACTATCAATTTCTGATAGTTAAAAGTTGCTATAGTAGAATTCTATTTTATAGTTACAAGGGCAATTTAGTATTCATAAATGATAGTGAAAATTGCATGGCATACAGATGTCCAAAATATTCAGTAATATAATTCTGTTCTAATTCACATAGTTCTTTGCAATTGAAGTAAACTGTCCTCCACTCTGTTCGTGTGACAGCTTAGAAAAGTAAATCATGCACCCTCTAAATATTGAAATCAGTGAGATTTGTTACAATTTGAGAGTAAAATTTGCCCCCAAGACAGTGGACATTTTCACAGAAAGACAAATCTATGTGCCTTCGTATTCCTAATGGCGAGGAATTATATCAAGTATGGAAATAATGCGTGACTGTTTTCATTATCCTTTGTCTTTCATCTTACCACAGGAGGATTTTCTCTGCTTGTTTGTAACATCATCTCATTGATTAAAATAAAAACTGTAGGAACTTGCAGCTTTTTTCTTTCTATAATGTTTATTTACTGTGGTGTGCCGGATCAGCCCTCATCCCAATGGAATTCCTGCTGGTATTTCAGTATTTAAATTAAGTACCATTTATTTTTTTTAAAAAATGGCTAACATGATTTGAAGTGTGTATTTAAAGTGTTCATATGTCACATGGGAATTGACATTGCTAAATACTTTTAAAGCATTTCTATTCAGTATCTTACATTCCCCTCTTCTGGGGAAAGGCATACGATGATCATATGACTATTGTGTAAGACAGGTCATTAAAAAGGCAAAATGAAAAGAGAAGACATTTTATAAACTGATGCAGTAGTTGCGTGAACAGACACTTCTCTTTATCCCAGGAGTCATTTTAGTCATTTGTATTTGAGGCAGCGATAACCTATGAGACACTGCAAAGGGGCATGTAGCAGCTGTCTGTCAGTTAATACTGGCTGCAAGCGCTGTGAGTTTATGGTTGTTCCCTCTTTCTTACAGTCTTGGCTGTATTATGGAGAAACTATTATGAAGAAATGGAAATGCTATTGCATTTTGTAATGCTGTTCCGTGGTGTAGTGGTCAGTTTCCCATACATACCTGTTTGCTCTTCTTTGCCTGTGTGTTTTCATTAAGGTTCCTGATACCAGTATTCCATTATAGTCTTCCTGCTGCACAGAAGAACTTGATAGACTATTATTTGCTGTGGCTTTTTGTTTGCGGGTTATCTTTTATCTTTCATATGCTATCATTAAGTCAGTGAGTTGGGCAAATTACCGCAACTTATCCTTTTCAAACTCCCTTTTAATATCGCCTGTTTATTTTTAGTGTTGCTAGATTAAATGGTTCTGTAACTATATTTTTTCAGAGGCTACTTCAAGGATGCTAATTACATTGATAACAGGTGGGAATTCCCATGGGATTTTTTTCAAATGTGATCTCTGTTTCTTGTTCCTTTATGAAAGTGGAAAGTGTTGCCTATAGAAATACGGATATTGATCTAAAGCTGTGGAGAATATTAAAAACCCTCTGTTTTGTGTGATTGCCACTCTACGTAGCATTTAGTGGAGAACTCAGATTTTCTTTTGGTATGATTTGGGGGACTGCAGTGCAGCAGAACATTACATTACACAAAGCTCTATTATGTCATATGAATACACAGACATATTATCAAGAGGGTTTTTTTGATCCATTTAGATGTATATGGAAAGCACTTCAAATAACTAAGTAGAACCAGCTAAGGAAGTAATAAATATTAATAATAGTGCAGTATAGTAAACACAAAATGGGCTAATCATAGTCTGAAATAAAATATTGAAGTTGGATTTCCAAATTTTTAGTGTGCAGATGTTCATTCTGGCTCTAGAAGAGAACAGGAATTGCAGTCTGTAGCAGAAAGCAGCTTGTGCAGAGGATCCAATACTGTATCCTTTGTGATCCCAACTGGAAAGGACATTGTAAAGATATTGCAAGATGGATTCAGCCGGATTCACTGAAATATATTTGTGGGGCTCATCAGCTTTTTCTGTTTAGCTTTCCTCTTTCTTCTTCCCTTTGCCTTATGTCTTACATTTTGTGAATATGTATTATTGGTCATCTACTTGAGTAATTGTCAGTGTGGTTAACCCTTTCACTTTGTTACAGACTCTAAAGTGCATTATCAAATAATTTTCAAACCCAAAACATCCTGTAGTCATCTTCTGTGGAATCTTGTTATTTATTAAAATCTCTTAATCCTACACAACCAGGATTAAACTTCTGGTTTTATAATTCTAGGTTCAAGACTGCATCTAGATTAGACCTGGGACTTGCGATTCATAAAAGTTTCAGTTCTGTTGGAGTCAGTCACTGTGTTTGTAAAATGCCATTGGCACAAGCGGCATCACTTCTCATCAGACTAGTTGGGTTTAGGAAGTGCTTGAAGCAACATCACCACCCCCAATTCTCAATGCTCAGCAAACAGACTTCTCCTCAACAAAATACAGCACAGTGATCTCATAGCCCATCAGTGTGAGACTGAAGTTCTGCCTTAATTCTTCCAGAAGCTTCCTGCATCATTTTGGTCAACTTCTTTGGTTTTCCATTCCTTAGCTCTCCATTAGGAATATGTCTATAATAATTTTCCATACCTACAAGTATGTGTTTATATAACATGGTAAAAGGGTCCTGAGACCTTGTAAAGAGAAGAAGCACCACGAGGTCTGGACTTCTGTGTGTCTTTCATTTCACTCTCAGTTATGTTCTTTAGCCTGTTTGGAACAATCAGTTGAAACTCAAAGGTTTCCCAGCTTTCCTAATAGGGAGTATAAAAAATAGGAGATTGCTATTTTTCATGGATCTCAGTAAAGTTAATACAAAGTTTTATTAAAAAAAAAAAAGAAACAATCAAACTAACTGTGTTATTATGTAATTTTGAAGCATTGTAAATCAGAGTACCAGCAAGCATTAACTCCACAATAAGCATTGATTTCTTCTAAGTTCCTTCTGGTTTTTGTTTTTTTGTTCGGTGGTTTTGTTGTTGGGTTTTTTTGGTTGTTGGTTTGGTTGTTTTTTTTTTTGTAATAATGACATTTATAGAAGGATCTAAATATATTTGGATTTTTTTTTTGCTTTGTAGGTTGTGGACTGTGCTTGGGACGAGCTAGTCAAGATCTATACTCCATCGTGTCTGGCAGTTCCTGTCTAGAGAAAAAGTGAAGAACACACCAGGAAAATTTATTTCTTGACCCACAACCGGACTTGTGCTGAAGTGTCAACTGTGTCACTAATCTTAGTGTCTCTTTCTAAGTAAAACTCTGCTTGAATGGAGTGTTGTGCACTTAAGCTTGTGGAGATTTCAGGGCTTGGGTTACTGCACAGGAGCCAGCAAAAATGAAAGGCCGAAGAATGGCTGTAGCAGACACAAGCTGGTGTCTTTAAAGTAAAATCACACAATTTTGTGATCTGTCTGGCTAATGATGGGAGCAGAGGCCTGAATCTTCTTGATCCTTATGCAGATTAACTGGTATTTTGAGATAATGGCGCTGTGGAAAAGAAAAAAGTGGCTTTTCATGGTCAAGTACTGTAATGTCAACTGAGATTTGTATCACTCAGATGCATTTACATTTTTATGTTTTGCTGTGACTCACATTGTATTATTTTCTTGTGCAATATGAAGAATACTTTTGATAAAGAGTAAATGTCATAGTTTATAGCCAGCTGATTTGTTTGACCTTTGTGATGGCCGCTTAACAAAGATAGTAAAGATTATTTTCATACATTTTTTCTGTTAGATGTCCTTTAGTAAAACAATTGATGGGAAAAGATACTCTGATGATAGAGAAAACACTTAGGAAAAAATGAAATATATACAAAATAATTGGATCACAATCCTCAAGATTTAGAGATAGGACAACCATCTCCTCTATTAGACTTCTGCTTGCACTTTTAGAAAGTTTTCTCCAAGAGACAGAAGAGGCCATGTATTCAATTTTTCTGAACCTCTGACAGCCTGGCCAAACTGAGAGCTGATGTCCAGACCAGCTGAACCTACAGATTAACCGCATGACATAAGCATAGCAGATCCAGTGTGGCCAAGCTATTTTACTTAGAAGAATATGCGCAACATGTCATAGGTTAGTCGAGTACTTTGCATGCTTACTTTGACTCTTCAGCCCATGTGCTGGGATTTTCATTTGAGTTTTTCTGAGGTGATTAGAGACGTTCAGTTTCTGTGCTTCTCCAGTCTCCTTGAATACTCTTTCAGGATCCAGCTGTGATACTCCTGCAGTTCTCATGGGTATATGCTAGGCTTCTCTCCTCATTTCCTTCCTGCTATTTTTTTGTTTGTTTGTTTATTTGTTTGTTTTTAACCTGTCTGCTCTTACCCCTTATCAACAATCTTTACCATCAAAAGACGCTTTGCAGGTTGGGCGTTTACAGATCTTTGGTTAGGTTTTCATAGTCTCCTGTTAATGAATGCTGTATACTTCTGGGTTGCAGCACTCATATATCAAGCAATAGCAGACACTGCCAGATCTTCTGGATGCTTTGAAGAAAGGAAGAATAATTCAGCAGAACTAAGCCCTGCAAGTTGCAAGGAAAGAATGTGCCATCTTGGTGAAAGAGCCAGGGTACTAGCAGGTAGCCACAGGGAAATACACAAGTATTGATTTGGTGCTAGGACAAGACAGAAAGAAACCCTCTTCTGCAACATGAGAATTTAGATTCTGATAGGATCTTCTTATTTTCTTGGTCAGTGCAAACTGACTGCAGAATGCCATCTTCTGAAGCTGAATTAAAAACAAACAGTATTTTCTTTTTTGTGACAGTGTGTTGCACCAAATCCCAAAGGTTCACTGCACTTTAATTATGTTTGCTGAGGAGCGATGCAACAATAAAGCTCTATTCTGTACAGTTTTCAGCAATACAGTGGGCCATAAAATCTAATTTTAGGGATTAAAATTGATTATTCCAACTTGAATAGTTTCCCCACTCTTGTGCTTTACCTCCCTTGTCTGCTTAGACTGCAAGGTACTTGTCTGAATGAGTGGAACATTTTGATGCTGGGTATGTATTTTAGATGCATGTAGGGAGGAAAATGGTGCCATAGCCTGTCAGTTGCAAGGGCAAATTTAGAATACCTTGCACGGGGAGGGGGAAGGGAAAAAGAATGGAATTCTGAACACACGCACACATACACAACACATGGATTAAACCTTTCTTAACTGCCTCCTCTACCCTCATGTCCTGGTTAGCTTCAGTACTGAGGGTTGCAGCATCCGGATGCAATTCTCTTGAAAAATAAGTGCATCCAGAAAATGCACGTAGTAAATAAAAACTGTGGCCTTTGATCTTCCTATGTGATCTTGTCATGGACAGAATGTGCTGTAACATTTCTGCACTGTAACAGAAAAAACGATCTGGCAATAGTTGTTGCTGATTCTTAATTCTCAGGGAATGTTTGCTGTAATTGTTATAAAGAAATACTTTTGATTTTATGACCATAATACTAGCTTCTGAACTTCTTTTCATTTACTGAAATGGACCTTTAGCAGCAACAATCTTAAAAGACGTGTTCTACTTTTAAACTTGCTCCTGTGGAAGATTTTTTTTATGGAAGCCCATAGGTTTCTCTTCGGTTCATAAAACATATTGATTCATCATGTTCTAAAGGAGTGGATTTGCTGTTCTATAATGCTGTTGAATTAATTGCACACAGTGTTTTGGCTGCTCTCACGTTCACATCTCCAATTGCGAATCATTGATCAAAAAGTAACTGCCGTGAAAGATACTGACAGCATCTTATAGAGTATCATAATCATGATTTGTGTCTTGTATGAATACTGGGAGACAGTACTTTTAGAGACCATACCTCATGCAGCTTTGCCTACCTGTATGCCCCATCAGGTCAGCATTATGATAAAGAAAAGCTAGTTCAGATGATTCTTTTTGTCTGCTTGTGCACACTACATGTTAGTGATGAAGCAATCTCTTTCTTCTAGCCAAGTACGGTGCTCATCTCAAATTTTGCTGCACAGGCATGGGTGTACTAAGCCTCTCAGCAGTGCTGCACAGTTTTGAATGTGCTCAGGATCATGTGCTGGGGAATGGATGCAATTCTGCACAATGCTTTCTCTATATGGTTGCATTAGACCCTAATTAAAACAAACTGCCCATTTTATATGGATTGTTACAATTTTGATTTTAAAAAGCAATAGAAAAAGGATGCCCTCAGTAATTTGACATTAGTTTGCTCCATGTTTGTTTTTTTATACCTCACCCATGTCATTGTACCTAGGTGAAATGCAAATCTGAGCATAATTTACATTAAAGGATTAGAGTTAAGGCATCATAATCATCTCCTTACCCAGAGCTGTTACTGTCATCTGTGCCCCACTGCTAGGCCAAAATTCTGTTACAGTCAACTGAACTGAAATTCCATTGCTGTCTCTGGACACAAGAACAGCTAGAATGAGGGAAGTACCTTCACAGTGGTGTTACTTCAGATTACATCACCCTGTGACTTTATCCAGTGCCTTTTCAGTAAAGTCCAGGAGAACTAGTATTTTCTGAGTGTGGTGTGGTGGAGAGGCGGTGGGAGGCTAGAGCTGGGCCTGGCCTGGATCCACGTTGAGAAGGAGGTGGTTTGGCAAGACACACCACCTTCCCCTCACCTCCCCAAGGCCAAAATCAGGAGTACCACAAGGCATGTTGCAGGAGAGGCTGGTCTTGCAACACATGTGAGTTCCAAGAGAGGAGATGGTATTTGAGACATGGACGCCTGAGTTCCCAAATTTAATGTGGCCTCACCTTGAGTACTGTGCAGTTCTGGGCCCCACAATCTAAGAAGGACGTGAAGGTTCTTGAATGTGTCCATAGGTGAGTAACAAAGCTGGTAAAAGGGCTGGAAGGCATGTCCTGTGAGGAGCAGCTGAGGACTTTGGGTTTGTCTAGTTTGGAGGAAAGGAGGCTGAGGGGCAACCTCATTGCTCTCTACAGATTCCTGAGAAAGTGGAGAGGGAGGTGCTGATCTCCCTCAGATTCAGTGATAGAACACAAGGACACGGTTCAAAGCTATGCCAAGGGGAGATTTAGACTGGACGTTAGGAAGCATTTCTTCACTGAGAGGGTGATCAAACACTGGAACGGGCTTCCTAGAGAGGTGGTTGATGCCCTAGCTTGTCAGTGTTTAACAGGCATTTGGACAATGTCCTTAACAACATGGTTTAAACCTTTGGTCAGCCCTGAAGTGGTCAGGCAGTTGGATTAGGTGATCCCCTGGGAGGTGACCACTGACAATCTCATTTTGCCTGAAAACTTCTTAGTTTCAGTATATTCCCAACTTCTTGTGCATCACCAGCCCCCTTGCTGGTACAGCAGCATCAGAAGCTGAAAGTCCTTGACTTAGTTGTTGCTCAGCAGTGCTTACACTAAAACATTAATGTGTCACCAACATTATTCTCCTTCTGAATCCTAAACATGGTCCCGTACCAGCTGCTATGTATTCCAGACAAAACCAGGACAACTATCTAAGACAGGAATGGGCAGCATGATCATTTTAACATGTCTAAAAAAGGTTGTTCCTGAGAGTCATAAGATATGGCTTCTGTTCTTTGTTCTTCCACAGATTTTCTATTTGAACCTGGCTAAATCATGTAATCTGGTTTAGTATTTAAAAACTACATACAAGTAAGCAAGTAATGTTAACTTGTAAGCATTTGGTGGGACTACAGAAGTAATTTAATCGAGGTTTCTTTGACTTTTTAAAAGGCCAGTGTAGTGATAGGACAAGGGGTAATGGTTTTAAACTAAAAGAGGGAAGATTTAGATTAGGCATTAGGAAGAAGTTCATCCTAAGGAGGGTGGTGAGGCACTGGAACAGGTTGCCCAGAGAAGATGTGGATGCCCCATTCCTGAAAGTGTTCAAGGCTGGGCTGGATGGGGTTTTGAGCAACCTGGTCTAGTGGAAGGTGTCCCTGCCTGTGAAAGGGGGCTGGAACTAGATGATCTTGAAGGCCCCTTCCAACCCACACCAATCTATGATTCTGTGACCAGTTATGCTTTCTTCCCACCCTGAGTCAGCAAAGATTAAACTTTCAAGTATCCAAGTATCAAGTGACTTTTGTGACTGAGAAACTCGGTGTTACTCTCACTTTTTAAAAGGATGCATACATACAGAGGCTGGTTTTCTTGGGTATTTTTCAGTTTTAATATTTCAATGACTGGAGTTTTTAATGTAAGTACTCAAATATTATTAAAAATAAAGATTAGCATGTAAAAAGAAGATGAAAATATAACTGCCTTAGTAAGAACCAGAGAGAGAACCAAATGGAAAACAAGCTGTCACGGAAAATAATTAGGGCACACTTAAGAGTTAAAAGTGGAAAAGCCAATCTAAAATTTCAAATGTCAGGTGAATCTTCCCATAGATTCTGTAAAAACGAAGAAGAGAAAAGGTAAAGGAGGAAAAGAGAGACTGCAGTTTTGAGTCAGGTGAGTATTACAGTGGTCCTCAAGTAAGAGGGCAAGTAAGAGGGAGTGAGGAAGAGCAGCTTGATAAAAAAAAAAAAATAAATAAATTGAAGATTGGAAAATAAAAGGCAAGAAAGCTGGAGACAGCCTCTGATGTGAAACAATATTTACCTGGTTACACCTGCCAAAAAGCAGAAGGAAGCACTGCTGTGTCTGCAGCAGCCACAGGCAGTCTGCAGCAGCTGCTGGCCCCTGCAACAAGCAGGGCTGATGGCACCGACATGCAAAGTGGACTTGCACTCAGCTCCAGCCTTCTGGAAGCTGGCTGCAGGATAGATTCCAAACATTCCAAAGATCCCTTCTATCTCCATCCACATGTTTACCCCAAAGGCTGAAAACAAAAAGTTCTTTTAGGTTTTGCCTAGAGAACATAGATTTTTCTTGTGGCTTACCTTTAATTTCAATGGTACCCATGGTTTCCTTTCCCTCATTACCAGTTTTCATCTTCAAACACTCTTACCTTAATGTGTACCTCTGTTGTTTCATTTTAAAAACCTTGCCCTGCCTCCTTTCCCTGCCCATACCAGCTCCACTGCTAGTTCTAACCCTGGAAATACATAACACAACCCCTTTGGCGCACCTGATGCTTGTGACCATCAAGAGCCCCTTAGTGCACCCACCAATAACCCTGTCCATACACGGCTTCTCCTGGTTCTGAAGCAGAGCCCAGTGCTGCAGCTCCGGTAGGGCTTTCCGGACACTCCTTCATCCTAGTGTGGTTGTTTCATGTCCACTTACTCACGTGGCAGTCCTAATGCCTGCTCTGCTCTTGTTGAGAGCTGTTGGCATCAGCATCCCTTTCCAGCCACTGCTACACGTCTCACCTGAACACAGCAGTGTAATGACTGGGAAGAAGTACAGCTGGCTTTGGAAGCTGGGTACATCTAGTGACCTCTGGGAACTGAACCAAGTGAAATGTAACATGTTACATGCAACATGTTTTAGTGTGAGGTGTCCCTGCCCATGGCAGGGGGGTTGGAACTTAAGGTGCTTTCCAACCCTAACTATTCTAGGATTCTATGATTCTATGTTTCTGCAGAAATCTCACAGAAAGTACTTGGTGTGTTTTTGATACTGCCAAAATGTGTGCTGTTCTTGTCCTAAATTCCATACAAACCCACCAGAACTGGCAATCCTTGTCAGGATCAGGTCCACTCTTTTTACAGTAAGTCTTCCAGAACCAAGCAGCTGTTATCAACTGTGCCGTCCACCCCCGTCCCGTCCCGTCCCCCCCCCCCCCCCCCCGAGCTGGTTCTAACACCTTTCCTGTGGAGAGGGGGCAGACTGCCTTTGTTTAAAATAAAGAGTAATTTTCCTGTCTCCTACTGATGGGTGAAAGGTGATCTTACTGCTGAGAGAGACCTAACATGTATGACTTTACAAGGCTCAAGAATATAAGCCAGTTCTGAATAAAAGTATTGTTTTTCATTCCCTTACGGTGCCTGACACTGCAGGAGACTGGTAGAGGACTGACTGCTCAAGAAAATTGCTTTTTCATAGAGTTGAGGTGATCAGCTGCAGTCTCCTGTTAAAACCTTCATCTGGCAAGTCGAGAGTTTATTTGAACTTTAAGACATCTTTAAGACATCTCTTTCCAAGACTGTGTGGTTACCAAGTTTTAATGACTTTCCAAGGAAAGATCCCCTACTAGACACAGGTTCTCCCTGCCTCCTCATCAACGGTTCCACTCTCCGTCGTTCCCCGCCGGCGAAGAGACTCTCTTTGGCGAGCCGGGGAACGAGCCGGACCCCAAAGCGAAGCGCCGGGGGCTGCGGGAGGGATGCCGCTGGTAGGCTCGACAGATACTTTTACCTGGGAGGCAGTACGTTCTTGGGGAAAGAAAAGCGGTGCTGCCCTGTTTGTGCACGAGTTGAGGGGGGGGGCTTTGCACTGAGCTCCCCGCTCCGGGAGACATGGGGATTCCCAAGGGGCTCCCACGTTAGTTTCGGGCCGGTCGCGCCCTGCCGCGATGCGTTTGTGTCCCCCCTGCTGAAAGCACCGCTCTGCCCTGCGCTGCCGCCGGCCGGCTTCGGGAGAGCTTGCGGGAGCGGAGGGGCGCTCAGGCGGACACCGAGGGGCGAAAATGGGGGACAATACCGGGAGGGGGAGCACCTAAAGCGGCGGCGGAGACGCAGTGGAGATAGCGGGGAGGCACTCGGGGAGCTGCGGCGGAGAGGGGGCAGGAAGAGCGGGGAGGCGGGGGGACACGTCGGGGGCGGTGGCCGCCCTCCCGGGAGCGCGTACTGCCTCCGCCCGCCCCCCGCCTCCGCCCGTGCCCGTCCCCCGTCCCCCC